TACGTCGACGGTGTGCGCTGGAATCAACTGCGATTTGATTTGGACGCAAACGTTCAGCTGAGCTGACAGCGTACACATCTATACCAAAATTATAATTGTATTTTTCTATAGTTATTAATATTGTAATAATTAAGTGATGTCTACTAAATTTAAAAACACCTTCTGTATTAAGACATGAAAAAATTTCGTTTACATTTTTATTTCTTTTATTTAAATTTAACGTTATCAACTCTTCTTCTTCCTCCTCCTCTTCTTGGAGTAATAAAATTATTGCATTAAGTTTGCACGAATTCATTTTTTTAAATGTACAATTTAAGAGAATAAACGTGAAACCAATTTCTAAACTTGATTTCAGAGCGACAGAATGTTTATGCGAAATAATCTAACACCCAAAACTGCCGTGAGTCGAGTACAGCAGATTCTGCTGTGCGCTGCGCACTGTTCTAACAAACCGTAGCTTTAGCCATTACCGCCAACAGCGAACCCTATAGGTCGATAAGTACCAAATTCTTTTGGCCTGAATTGGATATAAACACCAAAGACATGTGGTTCTTATGCTACATTGGACATATCTTCATTGGACACATCTTATGCTACATTGGACATTCTGTACAAACAATTTGAGGACATTTTTTGTCAGTTCGAAATTGTTGATGTGCCCCTTGAGGCGGTAGTGTCCTGTTAGAAGACCTACGATAATACGCAGAACATTCCGATTTATATCTAGTAAATCTTTGGATCTCTTCTTCGAAGTTTCTTGTATAGAAGCCTTCGAATGATTAAGACCCATTTGTTTGTACCAATGGTTACGTCTTTTCCGTTCCACCCAGTCCGATATCGTTCTTTTGGCCGTGTTTCTAGCTACGCTAACGAAAGATTCTGGGTTATGAATCTTTCTTTTGTCCCTCTTCTGGTAAGTAGGTCCACTTATTCGTTTCCTGTAATACCAGTCTATATGACACTCAGAGAAAACTTACTTTGTTACTTTTTTCGATCCGAATTAGATTCTGCAGATAGTTCCAAACTAACTTGTAGTCAATTCAATTCTATGTTTGTTCCAATTGTTTGTTCTATTATTTTCCCGCCAACTTCCAATTTGCATCGTATCAATTTTTTATACCTCTGTATTCATGGCCGAGATTTATGCAATCTTGCCTGAGAAATTAACATGAGGGTCTATGAACTTCATAGATCAATCTGCAGAGACAGTGAAGCTCTTAGGAACCCTAAGGTGGACTCCAGGCTGGTGAACAGGTGAACAGTGTTGTAGTAGTGTGGGTGTCAAGTTCTCGTTGAATACACGGCCATGAAAGAGCTGATAAACTTGGCAGAGAAGGAATAGCTACAAAGTACTTCTGTAAGAGGCGGCCTTAGAAAAATCATCCACTATCGAAAAAATTCCTGGATCTGGATACAGCATAACCCTCACTCAGGACATCTACATACAATGGGGCTATTTCTAGGAGACTTTAGCTGCAGATTCCGTAGCAGAGAACCTGAAACAGTCAACCATGTCTTGCATGACTATGATGTACTAAACACTTTTGAGAGACCATCAAGTGTGTTCAAAAATATATGGTACCCATCCACTAGATTTGTACAAGCTTGTATATGGTTCCAGAAAATAAATGAAAGATGTGCAATAAGCTAATTGGCTTAAGTATGACCTTGCGTTTTAAAACTGACAACTCTCGAAAAAAGCTATGAATCCTCATGTACTTTACTTCACTTCGGTAATATCCCAACCATATTTTGACCTTTGCAATCATTTGTTTATTTCAGTAAGTTCCAAAGCATAGTTGAGATATTTTAATTTGACTGAGACACTCACTGGCCCTAACTCAAGAATCTTTAACTTGACACATGGCACAGATTATTCTAGATTTGTTTACTCAACATATGCCTACCAAATTTCTGGATTTTATTTATCGAAAAAAAACATATCTCCTGTATAGTGCTTCGTTATAAACGTAACATTATTTTGTTTGAAATTATATATAACCAGTTGTTTAATGAGTTTATTTGGTGAATTTAGTTGTAATATCGATAAAACGATTGTACTCTGGTCCCTCTTGGCGTTTGATAATAATATCTGTTTTAGACCAGATGGCCTTATTCGCCGTAATGACGACACTTTAGAACTATTTAACAAATGCAACAATTTGGATATAATCAACTTAAAGTAATAAACAGATTAAATTCTTTATTTTAATATACATACATGAATTGCAAAAAGTTAAAGGTATAGCAAACTGTCTTCGAAAGAGGTATACAAATTATTTTATGTGGATTTTACACTTTAAACAAAAAATTCACTGTATCCTCCATTATCATAGTAAAATAAGATAAAAAATTAAATTAACGTAAGTCGAGGTCATAAATGGTAATTACTCAAAGATAAAAACAAATTGAGAGTACAATAGCGGAATGAGCGACGCGACGGAACATTAATGGGGGACATTATTGGTCTATATTAGCAAATGGCGAAACGCTATTTACTCAAAATGTACTTTGGAATATAAACAATCCACTTATAATGTCTGTAGGTTCCAGAATAGCATTTTATTACAATGCCAAAGACAAATTAATTGGTTCAGTAATTAATTAAATAATAGAATATGTGTGTAATTAAAGAGTGGGTGGTATATTCCAAGCTTGTAAAAAATGGGTTTAATTACCAGAAGAAGACCAGCCGGACAACTGTAATTTAGTAAAAGTAAAATATACACGTTAAATAAACCAGGAACTTCTACAAGAACAGAGACCGCAATTTGTAAAAAAAGTGGATGTACGCAGACAAAGAACCAGTGTCAAAGAACAAGATAACACCGTGTTCGAAGTATCTCATCTAAAGTCATAAATGAAGGTCACAAAAACTACAGCCATAATGAAAACAAACATTTAACATCAGTATTTAAGAACGGAAGCAGAAAAGTATGCAAATACTATCGAGGATTATATCTATAATAAAAGGAAACTATATATCTAAACTTTGAGATTGGTATTATACACACGGATTTTTGTTTAAGAAACATGGATGTACTGGGATAACTTCAATGATACGAAAGCTGAGATTTCAAGCAGCAATCAATGTCTACATGGAACTAAAAACTTTTTTATTTCTTGCTAAATTGACATATACATATATCATTAAATCAAAATGAACAATGGAAATCAAACACATTTAAGGTACACATAGGACAAGAACAAAAAGAAGTTTAAACTTACCCAGTTCTATTAACCTGTCAATACATATTCGCAAGAAGGTCCTAAAATGTTATGTGTGGTCTATCCTATTATCTGGTTGTGAGACATACACATTAAAAACCACAATGCTTAACAAATTAGAAGCATTCGAATTGTGGGTGCTATCGACGGATCCTAAAATATCATGGGTTTCGCACCATTCAGAATGCTTGCTCACAAATATCATGAAAAGAAGAAAAACAGAATACTTCGGCCATATAATTAGAAGACCCAAATATCATTTACTTTGCCTTATAATACAAGGAAAGATGGAAGCAAAAGAGATGGATTGGTCGAAAGAAACTTTCATGGCTGCGTAATATTAGACAATGGTGTGGTAGCATAGTAGAAGAATTATTTCTCGCAGTAGCTAATAAAGAAGTACTGGAGAGGGTTGGTAAAGAAACAGAACTAATCACCACTATACAAACCAGAAAACTGGAATACCTAGGCCACGTGATGAGGGGACCAAAATATGAAATTTTGAGACTGATAATACAGGGAAAGATTCAAGGAAGAAGATCTGTTGGCCGAAGGCAGAACTCATGGTTAAAGAATCTACGTGATTGGTACCAATGCAGATCGATTGATTTGTTTAGAGCAGCAAGTTCTAAAATAAAAATAGCCATTATGATTGCCAACCTCCGTAGGGAGACGGCACTCTAAGAAGAAGTACCTAATAGAGAACGGTTTCAAGAAATTGTAAATATGATGATGGCCAACGTCTGACTACGGACACGGCACCTAAAGAAGTTTCAAATATTATTGCTGCTTAGCGACTAATTTTTGTCCTGAAAGCGACCAAAATATTTTGAAAACTGATCAAAGAAGAAACCGTTACGATATACAATGTTAGTTTAGAAGATAGAAAGACATAAAATAGAAAAGTTAGTACGGATGTTTTTAGAGTAGAGAATGTAAAAAGTATTCTTAGATACAGATAAAAAGAAAGCTAAAACTATGAGCATGTTTGTGGAGTGTTAAAATCGATAAAAAAACTCATACAACATTTGAAACATATTGAGAGAGAAAGCAATAAATTACTTGAAATAATTTAAAACATGAATAAAAAATAGGGTTAGAAACGGGAAAGAATAATTTGAATGAACTTAAGGGTGTATCTTAAAGAAATTAATTAGGCTATTTAGTTACGGTTATTAAAATAATTGTAACAAGAGATGGAGTCACTTCGGCGACGCTACGGAGTATTAAGTATGGACAAAAGAAACGAGTTAATAATCCAGAGAAATTTCACTAGAAAAAGGAGTACTAACGTGTATAGAAGAGAATATATTGAAGTGTTACGGAAATATTAAAAAAAATTAGTTAAAACGGATGGATAAAAAAATAACACAATGCAACAAAGGTGAAATGACTTCGAAGATGCTGCCGGACAATAATAATAAACATAATAAACAATAATACGACAGAAGAAACTTCTAGAACAACTACTTTACATTTACGACTTCTAGAATATACTGTATAATTGTTTATTCACATTTGTAAATACTTTTTGTAATATTTTTACATACTTCTTAAGGTATTTAATTAATGTATCTAATTAAAAAACTTATCTACAGAAAACGTACCAAATGGTAACAACATGCTGGCTCGCTCAACATCAGCAGCATCCTTAAATTTATCCAATAATCTAATTAACGGTTTTGGTGGAGTTTCTACCTCTACCTCCCCTTTATTATCCACTCCTGATGACATCATTCCAGATCCTTTAACAAATATTATCCCGAATACAGGAACCAGTACTACTCCGTCGATTCCTAGATCCAACAAGGTTAGTCCTATGCAGATCCGCTGCAAGTTTGGCCAGTTGGGACCCGGCAAGGGACAGTTCAATTCTCCACACGGATTTTGCTTGGGATTGGAAGAGGACATTATCGTTGCTGATACAAATAATCATAGAATTCAGGTAAGTACTACGAACGCCACTTTATTCGACATTTTTTCCTGTTACACATTTAAAAATTATAGAGAATAGTGCTAATTTAATTAACTCGATAGGAAAACTACCAGGTTATGGAGATTCAGTAGTAGTAGTTTTAGTTTTCACTAGTGCAGATTCTGTTTCTTATACTTTAATAGTTTATATTTCTTTGACACCTCTTTATGTTTACGTTAAAGTACGCCGCGTTGTTCTTTTAGTCCAGTCTGGTTTTGCAAAAATCATCGATTTCATGTCAAAATTTTTCGCAGATATCTGAAGTCTTTAAGACATAGGTGGGGGTTACTAGATGACGAATAGATGAAAAAGTACTCGTATTTTTACCTTGCGTTTTTTTAACAATAATTTATGGTCACAATTTGATTTTTTATCTATAACTTGTTTCCCTTATATTTTACATAAACAATATTTATATCATTTTTTTATATCAAGAATATCTTTATTTTCCCGTTTTTTAAATTAAAATTGATAAATCATTTACGGAGATATTTGCGAAAAAGCAGTTTTTTTGCACTAATTTATAAATTTTATTAATTTTTTTATTAACAAAATAAAATGTTATTAATACATTTGAACATCGAGGAATTACCATGTTTTAAATTTGTGCGAAATTTCCCCCCGATCGGTCAAATAGTTAAAGATATTTAATTTATTTATCTCTGAGGATAAATATTTAAACTATTGAACTTGCTCTAATAATGATGCTAGACACACTTAGCAAATTTCATAGGATTCTTTAACACTTAAACTGTCTCCGAAGTTAAATGCATATTGCGTTTTCATCGAAATTATTTACCAAATAAACGTTTGAAAAAGGGGTATATTTTTTACTTATAAACAATAGTAATATCTTCTATATTTTTCAAGCTACAGACTTGTACGTACAACCATTGATAGCTGGTAAAAAAACTCACATTTAAAAAAAAAACCTTCTATGACCAATGGGAACGAAGTTAGGGACTATTTTTTAAGAAAACATCTCAATTGTTTATAAACATTAATAAGTTAAATTTTGCACAATTTTTGAATGAAAATATAAACTTTATATTAAAACTTGGCTATATATATAAGCTCTGGCTATAAAATTCATCAAATTTTTCGAAACTTACAGCCCTTCGAAACGAAGGTACTTTCGAAAGATCGATATAGGAAAGTGGAGGGAATAACTCAAATTGAAAAACGTAGAAAAATTTACATTATCTCGGCTTCCATTGCAGCTAGAAGCCTCTTTTTTAATCTGGGTAGCTCGTCGTAATATGAATAATTACATAGTTTTCACTGGCCGGGAAATATGGGAAATCTTGAAAAAATTGAGTCCATTTGAAATTCACCGTAAAAACTTACTTTTTTTTTTAATTTGACTGGAATAGTCTGTCGCAGTATTAATAATGATGATATAATTTTCACCCCCGGAAATCTCGGAAAATCCCGGAAAATCGACATATATTTTTTTTCATGTTATATCAATGATGTAATTATAAATATATAATTCTTTCTTTCTTTCTTTCTCCCCTTCCTTTTACCCTATCGGGGTGTCGGATTTGGGCTAGCTATTTTAATTTCCATTTACCCACACCTCTTCCATTCTTTTCTGTTTTCTGCCATTATTTTCAATTCCTCGAATGATTTTTGTTTAAGTTTTCTTGCCTCTACTACTTGCTGTATTTTTTGCCATTTTTTTCTTGGTCTACCTCTTTTTCTTTTTCCGATGTTCCTTGCTTCATAAACTTTTCTTGTTATTCTATTGGATTGCATCCTCATCAGATATCCATACCAGTTCATTTGTCTCTTTGCTATTTTGTTCATTATCGGTTCCTGGTTGGCCATTCTCCTAATAGTCTCGTTGCTTAATCTATCCCATTTTGTCTTTCCAACTATCCTTCTTAGATGTCTCATTTCCATTGCGTTTAATCGTGTCCTGGTTTATTTCTTTTGCTGTTCATTCGATTTAGTTATTGTATTACATTGACTTTTAATTTATCATTTTAATTTAATTTAATTCTAATCCCAACTTTAATCTATTTTAAGGCCAGATCTGGATTTTTGTAATAAAATTATGTGGCTTTTATTTTGATATTAATTTTCTTGTCAGCACTAATTACTTTCTTATCTGCCAAAAAAAAAAACAAAAACAAAAAACGCGCAGGAATGCCTAAGCAGGTCGACCCCTCGAACATTCGCCAAAACCACTTTTTTAATCTTTCACACAATTATTCATTTACTTAAGACTTGTTAAAATTATTAAAATAGTTCTATCTTACTTGTCTGATGGTATTTTCTTTATTAACTACTATCACCTGTATGCACTTTTAACACTTGTTTTTGAACTCGGTTGAATTTTCTAACTTGTAATTCCCCAATAATTTTAAGTTTATTACGAAACGAAATTAAATTAAGCTACTGTTGTCACCTGTAGGACAGTACTCCTATAATGATGATATAATTTTACCCCCCGGAAATCTCGGAAAATCCCGGAAAATCAACATATGTTTTTTTTATGTTATATCAATGATGTAATTATAAATATATAATACTTATATTTTATAAATTAAGTTTCAGATAATTTTTTAAACATTATATTCCTTATATTAATTATAATTATTTACTACTTTGATGATCTATATGTTTATATATGTGTTTAGGTATATGGACAGTACGAGGACGGCAAATACACTTATTTATCGTGTCGCTATATTTGATATATATTGATGTGAATAGGAGTAAGGTCATCTATATAATAGAAAAACCGGTAATATATCTTAGTATTAGTAAAAAAGGCGGGATGAGTAGCAGCTGCCACGCTCCAAAATTTCGTCAAAATAGTCCATAATTTCGTTCGTATTGGTCATAGAAAGTTTTTTTTTAATGTGTTTTTTACCAGCTATCCAATTATTGAACGTACAAGTATGTAGCTTAAAAAATATAGAACTGATTACAATTGTTTAAATGTAAAAAACATATCCTTTTTTCAACTGTTTATTTTGTAAATAATTTCGATGAAAACGCAATATGCATTTCTAGCTTCTCGCGAAACAAGAATGGATCAGGAAAAATCGAATAAAAACCGCATTAAACTGCAAAGAGTACCGACACCGCTCCAGCGGGCGAAAATTCCGATCCAAGATAGACTCGATAGAAGTCTGTTCGAACGCTGCAAACTCAAGTTTAAAAACGATCCCGTTGGTTTTTTTTCTGGAAGCCGGAATTAATAAAGATATGGAATTGTTAATAACTATTAAGAAGAAAAAAGTGTGATACTTAGGCCATGTGTTTTGACACGGTAAATAGAGCATAATGCAACTTTTAGTAGAAGGCAAGATTAAAGGTAGGAGAGGATTAGTTGGGCTTATAAACCTACTGGAATCGTTTCAAACACCAAAAGCTGCAAATATAATAAAATCGGTACAAAACCGGGAAGCATATCGTAAGAAGAAGAATATGTCTACAGGGCCTTTCATGGGCGATTATTAATAGTAAAGGTGTAATTTATTTTTTTCTTTAATTTTCTCAGTTAAATCGATAGCTCAGGAAGAGTTACTGTGTTTAGTTGTAGCTTTTTTAAGTCAGTGAATTTTGTGTTTTAATGTTTCATACATTTTCCCCGATTTTTCTTAATATATTCGTTTTATTTAGTTATATCCTTCTTTTTTATGTATCTATGACCTAAGTAAGGTGGAGATGGGAATATACTATATAAGACGCTCTGCTTTCAGTTTTGCGGTATCGATGTGAATGATTTATTTTTTATATAAAACGTTTCTTCCAGATCTTTGAAAAAACCGGAACATTCAAGTTTCAATTTGGCATCCCAGGCAAAGACGAAGGTCAGCTGTGGTATCCCAGAAAAGTAGCAGTCATGCGCAATACTGGCAAATATGTCGTATGCGATCGCGGCAACGAACGCTCCAGGATGCAGATCTTCACTAAAAACGGCCATTTTTTGAAAAAAATAGCTATACGTTACATCGACATAGTCGCTGGCCTAGCAGTCACTGTTAACGGGGAAATTGTCGCCGTTGACAGCGTCAGTCCGACAGTATTCATCATAGGGGAGAGTGGAGATTTGCTGCGTTGGTTCGATTGCAGCGATTATATGAGAGAGCCATCCGATATCGCTATTCATGGTAAGATAACATGTTCTTATTAAAATTCAGATGATTTTAAAACTATTGAAATTTTATAATTTGTACAAAATCGATGAATTCACGTAAATTATAGTAAATAGCAAATAATCAATCATATTTACTAAAACAGCATTGTGAATATGAGTTTTCGGATACGAGGTTTTTATAATGCAGATTTGTCACTGATTACTAGAATAATTAACACAATCTCTGGCGTATTTAATAATATAAAGTACGGAAAAAGTGAATATTATGAATAACGTGGATAAGTGGATAACTAGTTCTTAAATTCTAGTAGTTATAGAGCCGTAGAACTGTAAATAAACTTTTTGTTCAATTATAATACTAAGCTTGAACTTATAGAATTTTCTGGAAGATCTTTCGAGAACCTAGAACATTTGGGTTATTTCGTGAACTTCCCATATTTAGTCAAAGGGATATTTAAGCAGCGTTATACTTGTGTACTTACTAAAAAAAATAACACAAACACAATGCAAATTTCGAGATTTGTCATTGTATTTGTTGAATGTGTGCGGAAAATTTATAATTAATGCCAATTTCCGCAAAATAAGTGCCGAGCCGGCTTAGTCGTATCAAACATATATCTTACAAAATGTTTTTAGTGGTGTGCATTTTACGCCGTTTGTTGTCTGGACAAGAGACGTTTTGAATCTGCATAGGTTTACGAAAACCGGGAAGGGCTATGCTATTTGCTATTCCAATAATTTGTATATATATATATATATATATATATATATATATATTATATATATAATATATACACTACCCCGTGCAATCACAATGGAATTCCACAATCTCATTTAAATAATATAAAGAACCCGATACTATCGTTGCAGTAATCTGTTCTTTTAGTACAGGACTTTTTTTGGACCTACAAGGTCGAACAATTTGGCAGCAGATGTTCCATATACGGAGCAGTCAATTGTCAAAATTTTACGAATTTTTGTAAATGTACGACATTCGTGGTTTGATGAATGTTATACAGTTGCAGAATGCACTCATTGTAGCATGGGATTATCTAAAAGCAGTTATTGAAAATTTGTTCAGAATTCTTCGATCAAAATCGGTGCTAATTGAAGACATGGATCATTTAAATGTTCAAACGCCATTCAAAGTTCATTTTTTCCATTCCCATACTGGAAAATTCTGAGAAAAATCGCCAAATGAATCCGATGAATATGGCGAGCGTTTTCATTTACGGCAAGGCTCGAACGCTGTTACATTCTGGCAAAGTCGATTTACTCTGGAAAAGAGGGTTCGATTCGTGGGTTTTTAGGATTTAGAAGAGGGAGAATTAGGCTTTAGAAGCTTTAGGCTAGTTACTAGCCTCTTCGATGAATGGAATCAGTTTAGAATTGGATTGGGTATCTGATTTTGTTAAAAATGGCAGGAGCGAAGGTTCCGAGGTGGGCGGAGCTTCGACTGCTGGTGGACGACGGAGTGTTACTTCGAGGATATTGGGTTGGTGTTGTGTTGGGTTTTATGCTGTTGTGAATCTATATCAATAGCACTTCGGATACGCGTGGAGGATAGCTGTGGCTGAGGACAGTGCAATAAGATTGGAAACCACAGAAAACTAATCTCCCTCTGTCACTTTAGTTTTTGCCTGTACGGTACTCATGAGTAGTGTTCATCGGGATTCGTCTTGAGCATGTTTTGAATCCTTGTATTGAGACCCCGTATCGTTTTCAAGACCTAGGGGTCGGAGTCGTGTAGGTGTGCAAAAGTATGTATTTGTTGCGCCGAATTTTCCGCCTATCGCCTCATGGAGATCCCAGGCTCGCCTTCTTTTGTTGAGGGTGGGCACTAGTATAGCGACAAAAAGCTAGACGTTCTTTTGTGTCAAATCTATTGGAATTTATAAGATGACGATGTTGAATAAAGGGGGTAATTCGATTATGAATATGATAAATTAATTAAAATTTCGTTTGTCCAAGAAACAAATTATATAAAATACACTGGTTAATTTTTTTAAATAATTTTTTTCTTGTTTATAATAAATTTATTCATTTTGTGTTTGTTTTCAGGAAAGGAATTTTACGTTTGTGACTTCAAAGGACACAACGTGGTAGTATTTAATGACGACGGGCAATTTTTGCGTAGAATCGGATGTGAGAATCTAACCAACTTTCCCAACGGAATTGATATATCAGATGCAGGAGACGTATTGATTGGAGATTCCCATGGAAATCGATTCCACGTTGCAGTCTTTTCACGCGATGGGGGCTTGATTTCGGAATTTGAATGTCCATATGTAAAGGTGAGCTAAATAAATCAACTGTAACCTATTTTCGTAGTTTGTACTTAAAAATTGTTGATTTGCATTTCTTCATTATTTTGATATTTCATAGAAGTTAAATAAACGAAGATTTAGTGTAGTAGGTCGGAGATACAAATAACTTACACATAAACTAGCCCAGTGGTGTTAAATCGTACGATTTTAGAGGCCAATTAACAGCCATTATTATGCGTTTCCTTCAATAAATCGATTGAGGTATGCGCTGTGCGATATGTTGCGATATCTTGTTAAAAACCACTGTTTCCCAAGGCAATTCGATTTAGGAACAAAAAAAATTATTGGTCATAACTATATAGCGGTCATCATTCACTGTAACGCTCTTGCGGGCATCGTTTTAGAGAAAGTAAGGACCAGTGAGTCCATTAAACCATAAGCACACCAGACGGGTTCTTCTGGATTTAACAATTGCTGGATGCTTTGAAACTATTTTCTTGTGACCATTTTATGTACTATTTTGTTATGACAATTAACCACAATTTTAATTGAAAATACGTTTATTTTGACATTATCGATTTCCACTTCAGAAATCGTTCTCAAAATACAAAACATATGGGGATTATCTCAGTTCAAATGCGAGTGGGGTGATCATTTAATTTTCTTGTAAAAATCAGGATTCACAGATTCTTAAGTGGAAGAATTGTTTGTTATTTGGTATTTAAATACAATACATTGAATGAATGTCGAGCTTCCAAATGAATCGGTGACGAAAGGATTTTGATAATTCGAGGCTAGAGTACATCTTGATATTTGCATTTGGTTTAAGAAGAGAAAGTACTATACGGCGTTGATAATTAGTTTGCTTACTGACATTTGCAGTACTAGATTGCCTAATATTAATGGTGTTTTTTGTTTGCAGGTCTCCAGATGTTGTGGATTGAAAATCACATCCGAAGGTTACGTAGTAACCCTCGCCAAAAACAATCATCATGTTCTGGTATTGAATACGTTATACATCCTGTAAACCCCGAGCAAGTAGATTTGATCTCTTTAACTGTACAGCGTACTGAACTGATTTTTTTTTAAACGTAGCTTAAAATATTTTTGATTTAAAAAAACGGATATTTTGAAATTTTTATTATTTCAAACTATTCTACAGGTTTTATTGCTGGCAGATATACTGCACTTTATACAGAAATTGATTTTTACATTTTTTTATTGATTCTATTTTTATTTCAATGTTTTCGAAACAAATTTGCGTTAGTTCTGATTTTCAAAACTTATCCAAATTTGGTTTTTGGTTTAGCGGCAGATGAAACATGGTTCCTAATTTTTTTTATTTATAAGATGTCAATTAGGTACTATATTTATATAATTAGATGTGCCAATATAGACTTTTATTTTCAAACTTTTTGATAATAGGCGCTCTTGTTAATTTTTATTTTTTTTTTGTTTTGTTTTGTGTGATTGGTGTAAAAGAGTGAATGAGTCGCGGAACTTGACGGTACAGCTTTGAAAAATTTCCTATTTAAAAAACATGAAGAGTAATATAATACTCGCCGTGAAATTATTACAATTATAAAAGTCTACAAAATACAATCTTAAATATTTCAAAATATTCTATTTACTTTTCTGCTTCAGTTTTTCATTAATAAAAACTGAGTTAAAGGTTCTCTAAACTATTATCATTTTCTCCTTAGTTCATAAAAAAATTAATATTTTTCACACGTTTCACCCATCATGTCTGTGCTGGTCTTCCTCTACTAGTCCTTCCGTTAACTTTGACACTTATGAAATTTGTTCCTGTCATTTGTCATATACGTGTTAGCTGTCCTTTTAACTCATAGTTTAATGGTATGTCATCTTTCATGTCAATTACTTCGCGTCCTCATCGGAATGAAGATCTTTGAAGCACTTATAACGAAGCTCTACCATACTTTCTATTCATCGTTTGTGTACCAAGTTATTTTACCTTCTACTTAGCCCTTAACAGCATTAATATGTTTCAGATGTCTCGTCTAGCATGTTTTCGTTGACCTTCGTGTTCTACTCCTTCCATAAACCTAACATATAGATGAGGTCGCTGTCAGTCTCATTTGCCATTAGATGTCAGCTGCCATTTTAAATGTTATATTTAAAAAAATATTTATAAAGTATCTTACTTTATATTTAACGTTTGCATATCTCTAGGCTAATTTCATCTCGTATATCACCGGCTATCTGTAGTTTTCTTGTTCTTATCTACCAATTTTGTACCCAGTCATGATTGGACCTAACCTGCCAACAGCTATCGTCAAAATGTTTATCTATCCTACAATTACTGATCTGCTCGGAAGCCTACATGATAAGAGTCGTTTTTATTTTCCTGGTTGTGGAAATAATGTGGAAACTCTTGTAACGGGATATATATTTACTTTTCCTAATTTGCTTTGAATGAAGCATTATGATATTCTCCGTTAGCTTTGGATCGCCTTACAATGCTTCTTCATCGAATCCTAGTGTTTTCCCTGACTTAGCTGCTCTACATAATCTTTTTATTTGTAGAAAGAGGTAGATAACTATGCTTTTCCGGGTTATTAGAAGATTCAGATGGTCTTAGTTCTTGCTGGCTAATCAAAATTCCTTTATTCCGTTTTTCGTAACATTATCTGTTCACAATTTCCTTCGAATTATCTACAGGATGTCTTTGGGTAGCTGCGGATCATCGTTCAATGCTGCTACGACCACTTGGTCCATTCCTGGTGACTTGAACTGTTCAACTGCATCTGTTATCTTTTCGTTTGCAAAGGGCTTGCAAAGATATCTTTGTTTTCTGAGGATACTCGCTAGATAAACCTGGTTTTCCCCCTCTGGGTTAATCTGTCATACCGTTTCTTCTTTTTCATTAGTCAAAAGCTCACCACTTACATCTTTCACGGTTTTTTAAGAAGTGTAGTATTTTTTATGACGACGAAAAGTTTCGTCACTCAGTGTAGTCTTATATTGTCGTCTGCTGCGCGAAATCGGTGAATGAATTCTTATAGTTTCTCTGCCATTACCTAACCTAAAATAACTGAACAACCTAGGCCAAAATAACTGAACAACCTAACCCAAATAATTTCATCAAGAAAAAATCATAACTAAAACTGTTGGAAATTCGCAACTTCGGCAAATTTACAAATTACGATTTTCGGAAAAAATCTTAATTTTAACGAAATCTGATTGATTTTAAAGAAATTTTTCAAAGCAGGTACACTGTACTCAGGTTGGAGAGCGTATATTCGTTGTGTAAAGTTTGCACAGCGACCAGTGCCATGTAGGTTAGGACCTAAGGTTGCAGCCTAAAAACAGCTTTTTGTGATTCTGTAACAATCTGAAGGTTGCCACTGAAAAAATTCCAGTTACGAGTGTGTGTGTTCTTCTGGTAGAGGAGTAAAATAGAAGAAGAAAAAAACGAAATATTAGTTGACTAGGTTGTTATGAGGATGTTTTCAATACAATGCCGTAAATATTTTAAATTTATGTGCCATAAATGTACACTGCGTTAAGAAAATATTAATTACACATTGAATAAAGGGACAAAGAAGTAGAAATGTGTTTTGGTAGAAATATATTCAACGTTTCAATTGTAAAAGAGTGTGTAGGGTTTAAAATTACTCTGTTATGTGTATTTCTAGACAATATCAATGTGCGATATGTGAAAAAATAAAAAAAAAAACAATCAAAACTGCCTCTCTTTCGATCTTTAATTCACTTATGAAAATGTATTGTGGGTGTAGATCGCTTAGAACGTTAGGTGCCGTTTTAGCGTATGTTAGATGAAGCGCTTAAGCGTTTTTCAGAGAAAAAAGTACAAGTTTGAAGTGCTGGTGTCCCTAATAATGTGTACTAATATATTTCTTTAAGCCAGTGTACAAGGTTCCATATTATTGATTATATTTTGATCCGTACGACAATGCTAAACCAAAAAGTTTACTTGGTTTTTATAGAATGCCATTAAATCCTATCGTTACCACTTACATCAAATTTCTTAATTTTTTTATTGCTGTTCTTTTTCTTTGTCCCTACTTGTCAAAAGTTTCTGTTTCTCAAATTTTCCTTGATCTATCAATAGTTATAATAAAATAGCCACTTTATAGCTAAGTCCTTGGTTTTTACCATCATTCGACTTGACTGACTCACCAAATTCAGCTTGAATTTATGCTACGATCTGTACAAACCTGTTTATACTAAGGCGTTTGCAAAATTTCTGGCTGGTGAGGGACTCGACCAAAAGCAGTATACTGCTTCACAACAAATTAAGTTCAGACGATGTTTATACATTTCGTTAATTACATAAAGTTAATTGAATAAAAGAAGGTATAGTCAATCTGCGGTTTCAAATAAGGATCAGAATGTAATCAGTTTTTATTAAAAAATAAACTAGAAATGCTGCTATACTCTTGGGATGAACTAAATAAAACATTTAAACCAAAAAAAGAAGAAATATCGGGTCAAACAGTTTTTGTTTCTGCAATTGATACGTCACTTGTCATGTCATTTATGACTTTGCCATGGTGTTATTTGTCATCTTATTATTTATCATCGTGCTATTTGGCATATTGATTCCATTTCGTACGGTTGCGTGGGCCAGTGTGGTAAATAGGTACGACGATAAAAATGATTGCACGACCCGAAGGCACTGAATTCGCATAACTGATATAATGCAGTCCAACACTGCAAAATTTTGGTTTAGTGTCACTTTCTTTTACAATAAATAGACTATTATCCGTTCTTTGACTGGAACATGTTTTCATGTGGTGTAGTTTGCCGAATGTATCTCCATCTTTTAAAGGGTGTGGGTGACTGTGGAGTCTTTCTTTAAACTATGTAAATTGTGTAGCGTTTTTTTGGTCCTTATTCATTTGGTTGTAGTTTGGTTGAATATCAAGTGAGTAAAATAGTTTTTTGTGATTAACAAAAGTTATGAATATTTGAAACAATGTTTTAACATCCCAAAATTATAGAAGTTTTATCTAGTATATGTATCAAGATTGACATGTTTGAAACTCCTCACAAACATCTGTAGAATTTTCGCAAACATATACGTATTAAGTATTTTACTCCGCTATAAATAAAATTTTAAAAATCATCGCGGGAATCTTTGACCCGCGGTAAACCATGCCTGTGATAATAGTATCTTCAGGATAAGTTGTGACCTTAGTCTCTTGTTGTTATTTTGTGCGCAGCGCGGTACTCGCCCGATTATTGGGCGGTGGCGCGTGGCCACAAGTGGTTTTTAAAATTATATGTATATAATTATATAATAAAAAAATACCAAAAAAAATTCTCCAATTTTAAAAACAGATTGTTTATGTATTTAAAATAATCGTATCTTATACACTACATATTTGATCCTAGGACGAAGAACTGGCTGCTCGTTTTTATAGTTAGTTTTTATTGAGCAGGGTGGTCTAACATTATCGATTGGGAAGGTTGAACCAGCATGACAGAAACTATGGTTTTAAATTTGTGACGGTAATTTTACACAGCTCAGAACAACGTTAAACATTATTTTCTATTGGGATATAATTCTTCAGAAATGTGTGACACTATAAAAAACATACAATATTGTAATGTTGTGTCCAGAAACTGTATTAAGAAAAGTCACATCAAACGTGAGGTGTTCTTTATGTCACTGGAGTCGCACAACAGCAAATTATTCCAACAGCGGCGTCACACAAGCACATTCGTTACAATATATGTATAAACAAATACATGCTTATATTGTCACCTATTGCTCGAGCCTTACCTACAGTAGAAAATATTTGTAGAAAACGCTCCTAAACTATTATGTAGAGTAACGTCCAAAATGTAAAATCATTTTGTCTAATGCGCAAAATCTTCCAATATATAATACCAAAACTTTAAGCGCTCTGTATATGTACACAAATTTAGGCCTGTGTAATGATCTTACCGTTTTAGGTATGGGTAAAAAAGTGCAAATTGGGCCTTATGTTTTTAGTTTACAAAATTTCAAATGACTTTAAATCGACTTAACATATCAAGAAAC